GGAATCATTAGTTAAGTTTTTTGACCTGATATCTCAAAAGTCAATTGTGATCAACATGACAAACATAAAACAGATTGAAAAGCTCTATAAGAAGCACATAATTTCATGTTTAAAGGCCAAGTGAATGTAGCATAATTGCATTTTGTGCATGCATTCGATTCTCAGCTTGGGGAAAGACGATGGAGGTTGGAGCTTCAATAACTCCATTAGTAACCTCCACACCTCTTTCTGCTGGTAAACAATGCATGAAGTAAGCCTGAGGTCCAGCTATCTTCATTAGTTCTTCGTCCACCTGTCACAAAAATTTATAAAATTTTACATTAAAATAAACTATTTAACCTTTTTTTATCAATAATTACATTAGAAAAAATCCATTTGACCCTCTTGAAAATAACTTTTTAAGTAAAAACAGAACCCATTTAACCTTTTTCCTTGTCAATTTTTTATATAAAAAGGAACCCATTTGACCATCTTGTAAAGAACATTTTTAGCAATTTTCACATAAAGAAGAGCCCATTTAAACCTTTTTCTTTTATCAGTTTTTTTACATTTAAAAAAGAACCTATTTGACCCTCTTGAAAAGAACAAACTTTTACCAATTTTTACATTAAAAAGAGCCCATTTAACTTTTTTTTTTTAATTAATTTTCACATTAATAATAAACCATTTGACCCTCTTGAAAAGAACAAAGATTTATCAACCTTTATATTAAAAGAACCCAATAAACTTTTTTTTTATCAATTTTTACATAAAAGATAACCCATTTGACCCTCATGAAAAGAATCAACTTTTACATTAAAAAAAAATTAAAAAACCATTTTTTATCAGTTTCTACATAAAAAATAATCCATTTGAGTATTTGACCCTCTTGAAGAGAGCAAACTTTAATCAAATTTTACATTAAAAAGAACCCATTTAACCTTTTTTTAATTAATTTTCACAGTAATAATAAACCATTTGACCCTCTTGAAAAGAACAAACATTTATCAGCTTTTACATTAAAAAGAACCCAATCAACCTTTTTTAATCAAATTTAACATAAAGGATAACCCATTTGACCCTCTTCAAAAGAATCAATTTTTACATTTAAAAAAAAAAAAAAAAAATCATTTGACCCTTTTAACACTTTCCACATAAACACAACCTATTCAACATTTTGTTTATCAATCTTTACATTAACAAAAAGACCCAATTGACCCTCTTGATTAAGAACAAATTTTTAGAAAAAAAAAAAAAAAAAAAAAAAAAAAAAAAGAAAACTTACCTGAAATCCTTGAAAAACTTGTCGACGATATGCAGCCTCTTCCTTTTGGCCCATACTGGCCCAAACATCTGAATACACAACATCAGCCCCTTTAACAGCTTCTTGTGGGTCATTTGTAATCTCAATTTTCCCAACTCCAGCCCGTTGGGCTTTTTCAACAGTCTCTTTATCGGGCTCAAAGCCTTTTGGACACGCACACACAAAATGAAAAGGCACAACAGCAGCCAACAAAAGCCAAGAATGCACAATATTATTCCCATCTCCAACATACACAACCTTAGTCCCCTCAATTTGACCAATATGTTCAATCATTGTAAGAGCATCAGCCATGATTTGACATGGATGATTATAATCTGTCAGCCCATTGATCACAGGGACACTTGCGTAATTTGCCAAGTCCAAAAGATCCTGATGAGCAAAGAGTCGGGCCATGATGATGTCATTGTAGCGAGATAAAACACGGGCCACATCACGGGTTTCTTCACGTTTTCCCATTTCAATGTCTTTTGGGCCTAAATATATTGCATGTCCACCAAGTAGAAAGAAACCTGTTTCAAAGGAGACACGGGTTCTCATGGAGGGCTTTGCAAAGATCATTGCCATTGTTTTCCCTTTGAAGGGTAGATATGTCCTTTCGCCTGATTTTAGCAATGCTTTCACTTCTTTGGCTCTATCCAATATTGTTAATATTGTTTCCTTGTCAAAATCGTTGATGTGCAAAAAGTCCTTGAACCCTGTCTTCTCTAATAAAAAAAATGATAATCAGTGTAACTTTTTTTCCTAATATGTAATTTAATTTTGTATTTGCCAAAAAATTAGCACAGAATGAGTGTACCTTCAACACAAGACAATGCAGATTTGATGTGCAGAACTTTAGTTGGCATTTTGACCGGTCCTTTGACTTTCAGCTTGTCAGTGTGGGCTCCACGAACAAAAACTGCTGAATGTAATTGAACATATGAAATTAAGAAAACAAAAAAACTCAATGGTTAACTAATGATATATGCACACACAAGATGAAGAGAAACTTGTTATATTGGAAGCATAAGAAAGAATAGCAATAGAATATATTTAAATTAAATGAACATAAAGAAAGAAAAGTAGTAAATTACTGTATAATCTGAGATGTTAGATAAATGAAAGCAGAAGATGACCTTTACTCAGATTGTCCACATTCATGCAAGAGGTAGTGGTTCGAAGCCTGTGAATCTGATCATGTGAACCTTCTAACCCTAGCTTTGTTGGCATCAATGCTGCATATGCCATCTTCTTAGAAGTTCACCTACATAAAAAGATAGAAATTCCAAACAATTAGTTTTTCCTTTCATCCACAAAGTCTAATAAGCCTATTACAAGCATCAAGACTGTTATAGTATGATGCAAAAATGTCCTACAGCACTTTGAAAAACACTAGATTACCCTGGAAATTTCTAGGAGAACAACCCTAGCCACCTTTTCCATTATACACAGAGCAAAATAGTTGATAAATAATGTCATAACCTTATCAGAGACATCGAACATGCTATTTTTATTTTAGTTCAGTCGAAATTACAGGAATTTTGCTCTTTACATTGGAGAATCTGTGAACACTGCGACTAAACCCTAAATATAATAATACGACCAAGATAGAAAAATCAAAACAATTTGCATGTCTCGCTGCTAATAAAACCAAGTAAAAACAGAGATTTATTCCATCTACACTACAAAAAGCGCGAACGATGAAAGGAAAAAAAGACGGATGTGTCAAGTTACCTGTTTTCAAATCAAAAAACAAACCCCTGATTACAATGTGGGAGAAATTTGAAGTGTTTGCTTCAAATGATCGATAATCTGTAGAGAAAGAGAAAGTTAGTATTCTTATTGTATCGAGTATATCACTGTGCGTAGGTGCAGACTGTATGAGAGAGAGAGAGAGATTACAGAACCACCTGCCTGAACTTGAAGTAGTGGAAGGAAGGAAGCAGGAGGGTTTTATTGCCACTTGCCAAACTGCCTGTTAGAAACAAAATTAGAATGATATTAATGGTCCATTAACTATCACTTCATTTTCAATTTATGCCCCTAATGTTTGTATTTGTTACATATAAGTTACTAGTAGACTTTTATTGTTATTTTGGCATATGAAAAATAAAATTAGACATATCAAGCAATATTTAAATGGTTGATAAACAAATTATACGCCATAAGTCATAAATAACAAGGCGTTTTTTAAGGTGTGTTATACACATAAACATGTTTTCTATTATGATTCAAATATATTGAACTACTTAAATACATATATAAAGAGAAAAGAAATCTTATAATTCTAGTTTTATATAAAATATTTCAATTTTTTAGAATTGTTATATCAACTAATAATAATAAGTTAAATCCAATAGTTTCATATCTGATCCAAAAAAAAACAAAAAGACAAAACATGTCTTAAAATGAAAAAAAAATGCCTTGAAATAAAATTGCAAAATTATAGTTTTAGACACCTTCTTACCGTTTTGAAACATTTGACTAGTTTACATTGCTATAAAAAAATGACTCATTTTTTTATAGATGGATTGAATTATCACATCAAAGCTTTACTTTCATACTCATGGTTAAATTTTGTTTATATTTTTCATCAATGCTTTACTTTCATATACTCACGGTTAAAGATTGTTAATATTTTTCAGTTATTTTGTATTTTTTGAATGGCTAAATAATCTACTCTTAAATCTATACTTTTCATTGAAAACATGACTTAAACCCTCAACCTCACGAAAATTTATTACACGTTGTCATGTACACAATTTTGGTTCATATCAAAGAATGTTTTTGCTTTCGCTATTATTCTTTAATCTTTCTTTTCCTTTTAAAAACCATCACTCTCAAGTATTTATGATTTTCACATCTTCTCCATTAGGATAACCATCTAGGGGATAATTCTATGTAACTATGCAAATGTTAGATTATAGTTACTTTTTGATCTACTTTTATCACAAAAACAACCAAATGACTTTTACACATATAAACTGAATAGGATGCATAATAGTTACATATATTTGAGCTTACATAAAAATTAAAAAGTAGCATCCTGTTGCAAAAAACTTAACTCGTGCCAAAGGTGAAATGAAAATAATGATATTTTGGTACACATAATAACACATTTAGAATCAGGTTAGAAACCGAAAGGCAGAGGCAGCAACTGTTTATTTCAACCAAAGATAGTCTTCTGTATCTAAAAACACAAGTTGCAGAAATGTCGAAAATAATTGTAAAACATAATAATCTTTCTTTATGGAAACAAAAGGGATATATATGGAAATTATTTATTACCTAAGAATCAAGATCTGGGAGTTGAGATACTCTTTCTATTTCTTTAATGATAAGTTCCTTTTCCTCTTCAAATTGATCATCATCACCACCTAAAATCACACCCACAAAAAACTAAGAAATGACCATTTTACCCTTATATTCTAAAAAAACAAATCTTACAGTATTCATTAACTTTAACAATATTCATCAACAACGTGAGGAAAAAAGAAAAAGACAAGGGTATATATGTCATTATTAAGTGCTTAACCCATTAACCTTTTCCAGCAGATAAATTGTTTAGCAATTCCAGCAATTTTTCATGGTTCTTTGCTAATATGACTTTTATTTCTCGAGGTTTGTTAGGGTTAGCCACAAAGATCTGCATGAAAAACATTATAAGCCAACAAAATATGAACTAAAAAAAACACTTTTTCTAAGTGGAATTTAAGCAATGAAATGCAAAATAAGCAATAAACATGAAGAATTTTGTGTACCTTAAAAATGTGGAATGCAGAGATCTGGATGTTTTTGCTTGTATCCTGTCAAAGACCATAACTTATCAATGATAATAAACATAATCATATTAAAGAATATTATTTTTTTTTTCTTTTTGAAATATGTCAACTTGTAAACCATGTTACCTTTAACAATGTCATCATGACTTTGAAGTGTTGAACTTCTGCAATATATTTTTTCATTATATGGGAGCTTGGAGGCTCTAAAAGGAACTCTGACAAAAGCTATTATCCACAAAAAAAAAAAAAAAAATATATATATATATATATATATATATATATATATAAATATATATATATATATCCGTTTATTTAATCAAAGTTCCAAACAGAAACAAAATTTTAACAAATCATTGAAAAACTTACCTTTAAAGATTGTCTTCTTGTAACATAGTTATTAGAGGTTAAGAGTGTTTCATACTGCTCAAAGAACTGAAATGATATGAAAGAATATAACTAATTACTTATTTTAACTGAATGAGTTCATCAGGATCTTTAAACAAAACAATTTTCCTTTTTTATGTCTTTTGTATTGGAAAGCTCAAAGCTGGTGTTAATCATATAATGATCTCAAGAAGTTTAATTTCAAACCATTACTTCTAAAAAGAATCTGATAATTTTATTTGTGATTTTAAAAGTGAGAAGAATACCTCATTATAATGAGAAGTTAAGAATTCAGATACTGCAATTGGATGTTTGGTAAGAAGATCCTGCTTAACATTTGCATGATAATGTGTTAGAGACACCATAATATAATGTAATGTAATACTTGCCTTTTCAACATTAAGACTTAAAGATCTGACCTTGAAAGTCGAAAATGCATCAGAAGCAACATCAAAGTTAGCAAGCTCCACATACTTAAAGAATAGTTCAAAGCTTGGAGACTCCAATATATACCTGAAAGAACATCATTAAAACATGTATAAAGAGATAAGCAACAAAATAATAAACCATGTGTAAAGAGATGAGCAACATAAATGTCATACTTTGCAAGACTCGGGAACTTGATGCATTCCCTCAACATGTTTCCACAATTTAAAGCAATCTCCTTGTTATCATAACTGATTAATATTCATAAGTTAAGGACCATTATATCCCCACATTCATGAGAAAATAAATCAAAAAAATCAAGTTAAATATCAATTTTTCATACCCCGCAACAAGAAAATCCAACAAATCTGAATGATTCTCCAAGAATTGCACACAACAATGAGTTGATCCAACTTTTTGCTTCAATAGTATGGACCAACATTGGACTAAATCTTTTCTTGCCTATGTCAATTTCACAATGTTAACAAATATAATTAATAGCAAATAAAGATGAGACAACAGTATCATATGTAATCACTCACCTCCCACCCAAGTATAGATAACTTGTGAAAGAAAAGAGCAATTACATCCTCTTTACAAATTTCTACAGCTAACTGTGACACTTGATCGACATTTGGTTCAACCTCCCCATCTCCTAAAAGCACAAGTTTCATTGCACCAAAATTCTTCTCAACTTCTTCTAATGCCTGTATTAAAAAAAATGTATTTGTAGTCTAGTCTTGAAGCAAGTTATATATTCGATTATAAGCTATACTATCTAACCTACTCGAATCTAATCATTTCCATTAAAAATGTGTGACACTTGCTTGTTGAAGGATAAATCGATTGATAATCAAGAGTTTTAAGAACATAATGTAGGTCTTTTCCAGAAAACGGATAGCGTATGTGTGTTTATAAATACATGTGAATGCATCTTGGAAGTTTTTTTTTTTTTTCTTAAAAGAGATTCCTCCAAAACTTCACATGACCCTTTTTCCTAATTGTATTTTTAAAACTAGTAACAACGGAAAGTAAGTGACTTGGGGAAAAATACCTAAACTTTTTCTAATTTCAGCCAAGATCGCAGATTGTTTTTCTAATTGCATTTATGAAAAGGCCATATTAACAACGAAACTCCAAAAATTGACCACTGATTCAGCCTCAAAGTATCTCGAAATCGAAATTTTTTTTGAGAATTATTACAAACCTTTTCGAGTGCTTTAACCTCAACAACAGTTTTGGTGTCGAGAGCCATGAGGCTGTCTTTGATTGCTTTGGCGAGTTCTTGTGGGGTTTTAGGCCTTAAGGCCTTGAAGAACGAGAACGACATCGCTTCAGTTGATCAATCAATGGAGAAATTAAATACTTTTCGTGTTGTTTGTCGGAATCACCTGATCAAATGGCAATGGGGTTATGGGGGCAGCCAACCCGAAAATATCGATAGCTTAATTAAAGTTTATTTCTATTTCTACTATGAGACGGCAATGGGCTACCATTGACCCCCCTATATGCCAACAATTTGTTAGTTTTCAAATTGCTTGAGGAGCCGACGAACATGATTACAATGGAGGCGTCGGTGTTTTGTGTTGTGTCGCAACGTAAGTTTTTTATTAGGTTAAGGTTATATTGGTAAATTCTTAAATGAAGTGAAATAAGGAGCTTTTGATAATTATGGGGTAACCAATTTATCAAAAATGATTTATTAAAGGTATTGGAGCTATTTTTTTTTAAAAAAAAAACTTGTTATCCAAACACTACTTTTAGTTTATACCGGTGTGGAACAACCGCTAATAAACCAAAAAAACTTCTTAAATAAGTTTAAGTCAAACATCCTCTGGAAAAGTTGCCTCCAAAATTAGCAAGTGGCAAATAGTTCAGGGGTTATTTCAGTAACTTATCATTTACTATTCATAGTTTGACTATGAATAGTAATATATATGTTAATTGTTGGACGTCTATCTTTTACTATTCATAGCTTGACTATGAATAGTAGTATATATATGTGAATTGAATGAAGAATTGGACGGTGTATA